ACCTTTGGCCACTGTTCCTTCATTCTGCAATTCTAAGGCTCTGGAAGTATTTGATAAATGAGTATATACTACTACTTTTTTTAACCTAAATTTTTCTGTCTACTGTGTTGAAATGGGTTTTAATCTGAGAATCTATCTTAGATTTGTCAGTGTGGGTAGAAGATAAGTAGGAAAGTCAGAAGAGATTATATATTGTTATAAATTGATAACTGATGTTCTTTGCTTCTACTGCAAATGCAAGTGCCAGTTGATTTAACAAAGAATTTATAAGCACTGATAGTAACACATAGGTTTAATATTTCATTTGACAAGAAACTTTGCTGTTGATTCATTCAATTCCATTTAAGAATTTGTATGCAAAATAAGAGTAATGATGTTCAATATTATTTTGGTTGGTTTTAGCACTTCTAGCTAATGAAAACCAAGGTATTTTCAGCAGTGAATTCAGCTTATTCAAACTTAGTTTAGGGACGGTCCTCTAAGGTATGGGTCATCATTTGCACTTGATGGTTTATATTGTCCTGAAGACCTCAACTAAAGCTGAAATAATTCAGAAGGGATCAGAAGCAATAGGATAGATCAAAACCTAGTGGCTGCATGGCTGTATTTCGAACAAGAAAGTGATTTGTTGCTGATGGCAGGGTGCAAGACGCCACTTGAGAAGTCCTTGTGCAGCAAAGCTAACTGTAAGGGATTTCTGGACGTGAAGTGAACTTGAGAAGGGGTAAGGAGAGCTAGGCATAGTGGGAAGGAAGTGACTTTAACCCTCTTGCACCTCGGCTGAAGAATGTTCAGGGCAAATGTGCACTGAATTAATGCTACTTGTTACAGCCAGCAGGATTGAGATACAAGCCTTACAGTCCACAGCACAGCAGCATGAGATTACAGGAAGCTGCACATTGGCCATACTGAACGAGGGTTTAGTAGCCTGAGAGGTGAACAAGACCAGATCTCTAAAAACTGTGAATATTTCATCCCCTTGTGATTCCAAAAGGTTTTCCTAAATGACTGATTTTTAGCAACCAGTTTTCTCAGATGATTACAGCAAGTTAGGCATGGCAAGATTAGCCTTGAGTTAGTTGACATGCAGATTGTTTTCCAGTGGATACCCACTGAAGAAAGGCTTCCACTCCTGAGTCATAGAAACATTACTGAGGTGGAAAACTCATGAAACCGGTTTGGAAGCGTTCAGCAACAACTGCAGCTGCTGTGGTAACTCCCCCAAAACCTCTCCAGTGCAGGATGTGTTAGCACTTCCACTTAGCGAGCTTGTGTTATCTGGGGCATGGTGTTCATTCATCATCACTCACACTAGGCTAAAATTTGGCTAGTTGTTTTCAGCCTTGGAGAAAGATCCAATAAACTTGAAATCGGTCTCTTTGGCTGTTTTGAAGAGACACATGTACACGGTTTAAACTATATTCTCTTGACAGTAGCATATCAGAAGTTTTTTCCAGGAAAAAAATCTTCAGAGAGGCCACAGGTCTACACATAATATTATGATGAATTCTGGATTTGTTTCTCCTATAAATAGCCTGGCTTTTAAAAACATGTAAATTAACAGATGGGTACTTGAATCCAGGTGCTTTTTCTAAAGGATCCTCAAGAAAAGCTTTGTGATGAGGAGAAAAATAAGTGGAATGTTTATCAGATGATCACGGCAAGTGAAAGACTCATTAATATTAGCATTAGATGGACCGGATACAGACCCTTTTAGGATCAAGCTAGTAGAAGTAACTGACCCAAGTTATTGTGAATTAACTGCAAGACAAGGAATGGGAAACTCAGAGGCCTGGGGTAGGACTGCCAGAGTAGCTATGCAAAACTCAAAGGATTGGCAGCTTTTGCTTATGACAATGAAATACAGCATTTGATTAAAACATAGATGCAATATGGCTTTCTTGTTCCTAAACAAAAACAAACAAACAACAACAACCAAACAAACCCCTCAAAAAAAACCCAAACAAAAACACCACACCTCAAAGGCCAGACTGGAGGAACAGAAGCTGAAACTGTACAGGTGTGAATGTGTGATTTTCTTTGTCCACATGCCATGGTCCTCTCACAATATAGATACCTCTGCTGGATCCTAACTACCCTCTACCCTTGTTAAAACTACATTGCCTTAGATGAGCATCAGGGTGCTCGGTAGGGAATTATTTCTTTATAAAACCTACTTCATCTGATAATACTTATGTACAAAGGTTTCAGTCCTTTGTGTCTGGGAGTTTGGTAAGCATCTCACAGGACACAATCCCACTTCAGATGGGATAACTCAGAGGTTAATTAATAATAATATAACAGGCTCCGTACTCTTTCCAGTTCAGACTATGTAGCTACTTAGCTACCCTACTGAATACTTTTTGAGAAGCCATGAATTTTATTTCAGAAAAATCCATGTGCCTACTGAAAGCTTGAGCTCTGTTAAGCAGCGGCACAGTTATGCCACAGAGATATTCTTTAGTTGGATGAGACAGGCAGAGCCCAGAAAAGTTTCCTGTTTTATTATTTCAAACCTATTTTTCAATTATTGTCTTCCTGTTTGGAGAAGATCCTTTCTGGCAGTCATTCAGCCTTCTTAGGAATTTTTTGTATCTCATTAACTGGGGGCAGTTCCCAGGATATCAGATTTGCCATCATCTTTAAATCAAATACGTCTGAAATCACTTGTGACAAGCAGTTCTGTGGGCCCCACTCTGCTGAAGAACTTTAGGAAGGCTCGAAAGTTGGGATTTTTTTTTTTTACTGAACACAGATAAAATTGCTGCTCCTCTGTATGTACAATATTGTTTGTGTGAGGCAGAAAGTGCAGAAAAGGATGTCGGCTTCTGCTGAGTGCTGAGCTGTCTGAATTTGAGATCTACCTTTGAACCCTGTTCAATATTCACAGCCCTAAGCTGCATATATATACAAGTAGTTGGTCTTTGCACGTCTGTATTCCAGATCAGAATAACTGTGGTTTGATGCCAGCGTTACATTTCAGATATATTCAGAGTTTCTTCATTTTCTTTTCTTAAATTCCAGTCTTGAATGGAACTGATGGGACACCTCAGGGGTTAAATAATTGCTAGAGAGAGTCAGAGACAAAGAGGACAGCCAATATTGAAAATGATAGAAAGAGAATGAACATTAACTGTGTTTTTCCTTCTCAGTTCAATATTGGTTTTGTTGCTGCAAGTCAAGCATCAATTCTGTGTTTCCTCCCTCATTAGCTTTTCTTCCTTGAATAGGCATGTCTTGTAGTGACCTTCATTCTCCCTTTTACCAGAGCCCCTTTTTTGCCTGATAGGTCTAAATCTGCTGTGCAAAAAATACTAAATCACATTAGTCTCCCTGTTTGGTGGATGCTGCCCTCTAAAGAGCAGGAATCAACAGCAAAGGCGGTATCTGAGTAAGAGAAGTACAGGTTTTTTGCAACTGAAGAGTGAGTGTATGGCTAAACTAACAGCACACCGAGTCCTCTTCTCTGGCCTTGTATTGCTGAAATTCCTGGATGGGAATTGTTCTTAGTGATAATGAAAGATAAGTAGTCATGTCCACAGACACCACTGTCTCTATGAATAGCTACCTTTCCCAACCTTCCCTACAATCAAACCTAGGTACTACACTACTAAGGCAGGAACAAATGAGAACATTAAAGTTAAATGGTGCAACTTCACCCATACAAGTCCTGGGTGGTAGATCTGGTTGTTTGGTAGTTGTCAGGTACTTTAATCGATATACTTTTTCATCTCATATAAATACTTTTAAATTCTAAGCCTGTATAATCAATGTCAAATGTGAACCAAAAATATGTTGTTATTCATCTCAATAGACATAAGGAAAGGTTGAATTTAGTAATGTTAGAGTCTTGAGTATAATGAAGGAGGAAATGGATTTGATGACATTTTACAAGTCAGCTACAGAGTAAACAGATATTTTGTGCATATAACATCTCAGTGGATAGGGAATATTTTGTGAAAAAGGATTTGAGGTTAACTTGCTTGGAAAGCCAGATACAATTTTAAAGACTTTTAGATTTCACTACTTGTCACTATTAAGGGTTGTTTTCTAGGTTTAATTATTTTTTGACTAAAAAAGACTGATGTGGACATTGCATGTTTAGTTTGTGATGCAAGGAAGTTAATACATTGGTTGCTTTGGTCTCCTACGGAGAAGAAATCACATTAATATCTGTGCCTTGATTTCTCCTGTCATTATAGGCCTGAAATCTGATCAGCTTTGTTTATTATGGGTATTAATGTATTTAAGAGAATGAATGGCTCAGTGGGTTTGCATTTGGGTAACAGGATCTAGAATATTTAGCATCTTTACCTCAGTAGTTCGAATTCAGCTCATGCTGTCTTTGCTAGTGTAGCTTCTGAAGTCAGGCATGTGTGAATTAAGTTAATAGTCCCAGAAGTGGCTCTAGAAAGCTCTCTCTATTAATGCCCATGTCAGCAGTGTCGGAGTGAAATGGCAGGTTGAAAACTGTCGTTCATTGTCTAAATTCATCCATAACAATGGAGCAATTGAGAAAATACTTGTTGTTTGATAATATGAGGAGGCAGCAGGTTTACACAAATATCTAACTGCAGTGTGACATTCATTGCCGTGGACTGTTAGATAGGTGGAGATTTAAAAAGGTGTTGGGAGACCATGGACAATAGATAGATTGTGACGTAGCCTCTAGCCAGGAAATCTTTAAACCACTGGTTACTTGAATGGGAAGGTGTGAAGGGGAAAGGCTGTTCTGCGTTGTCTTGTTTCTTACAGCCTTTTACCCCAAGTAGTCGCTGCTGGCCTCTGTTGAGGACAGGATACTGGACTAGATAGACCTCTGAACTGAAGCAGTATGGCAGACCTTACATTCTCAAAGCTTTTGTCACATCATGAAGGCAATGTTGTATCATAACAGGTGAACTAGAAGAAAAACAGCAGTGGTCTGTCAGCAAATAATGAGTGCTCGCAAAGCAGTGCAATGCATTGATCCCTCATTTCCCTTTTTTATTTTTGTTCAGGCAGGTGACAAGCATTATCATCCAAGCTGTGCACGATGCAGCAGGTGCAACCAAATGTTCACAGAAGGAGAAGAAATGTATCTGCAAGGTAAGGATGTCTCCATTCCAAAACAAGAAAATCGGACTTTGTAATTTTTCTGTTACAGACCTCAGGAATTTATAAACTGTCTCCAAGTAATATGGGCAAGGAGAACTATAGCCATCCTGTCTTCATTACAGTGTTCTCTTACTTGTTCACTTGAAACCATTTCACTCTAGTAGGTGGTGAATAGGTCATAACGGTGGCTTTGCAGTGACTCTGCAGCCTAGCTGAGGCAGACTGTGTTTTGAAAAGCTGTGTAGCAAAAATGAAATTTATTAGGCTGCCTCTGAATTTGGCATCTCACGGATAGCTTAGCACACAGACTGGTATATGAGATACCAGACAAAGTTAGACGTTTTCCCCTGAATTCTGCTGAGCAGTTTCTCTGCTCTTCTGGACCACACTCCAAACTGTAAAAGGCAATGGAAAAACCTCCAAAGACTGCAGTGAGCTTGTTTTGAATCATGTAGATCTCATTCCCCATGCGCATTGACAGATTGTCTCCTCCATTTCTTAATCATATTTGCTTGCCTTGCCTGTTTCCCTTTTATCTGGTCACATCTCTCTTTTTATTCCCATTTACTTATGTCTTTCTACAGTCACTTCTTTCTTGTATGTTCATTTTCATCTCTTCTTTCTTATTAACAGTCTCGCACTCCCAGGTATTGCCAAGCACGTTTTTTTTCGTGATCTTTTCACGTAAAGAAGAACGTGCTTTTTTCTTTGATTGAAAAGCATCCTTGATCTGAATTCCACCTACTCTCCCAGAAGGTAGCATGTTAACTATTAAGCTACATTTAGTTTTATTACCTGCTGTAGTATTAAATAATGTTGGTAGAAAGACTTACGATACACATTTATGCAAGCCAGAAATCAAAGTGAAAAAGGCAGATACATATTGGGATTTTGTATATTGTGCTTATGTTAGAAAACTTGCTTGATATACCTGAAAGGACTGTAAAAGAATAGGAAAAAAATTATGAAAATGTGGTCGCAGCCATCTCTTGAAATCCTGAGGAGAGATTCTCTTGGAAGAATTCCAAAATGAGATAATATTGTAAGGAATTCCTTTGAAGCTAACTTGTGTTATTTTGTAGTTTGTCCTCCCTACCAGTCCATCTCTCTCATCTCTCACTGACCTTATACCTTAGTCGTCTTATTCCGGCTGTGCACAGAACTGGATATCAAGTTGTGTAGCAGCTTTGCACTGCAAGAGCAAGGAGAAGCTGAAAGAGGGCTGGGTAGGAAGTACTGCTTTCTGATGGCAAATTGGAAAGACTAATTTGAAAGCAGCAGTTACGGCATCTGACAACTGGTAATCTTCGTTTCCTCACATCATAGTATGATAAAGTACAGGCAGAGTTCAAGGTGAGCATCAGTTCATCCTTTGCTGTTATTAATAACAGCTGTTTGCAACTGATGCCATTTGCACCAGTCTAGCAGAGAGTTGGAGTTCCTGTTGATTGGGCAGGCTGTGGTGTAAATTTCTGCAGATCCAAGTAAGACAGGAAGCATTGCTTCTACTTAAACAAGGCTGGATTTTGTCCTGGCCAAGTTCAGGTGATATGAAAGAGGAGAGGAGAGGCACCTGGCTCCTTGATCTGCCATCATTCTCTTCTTGGCTGTATCTCCCTTTCTGTGGTTGTGAATTAATGTTCTTCATGCTCACTCTGTCTCAGAGGAGGAGCAGCCCCAGTTGCACTGCTTTATTGTTCACAAGCTGTTTTCTGACTAAATAATGTTATTGCTGAGCGTGCTCCAGACTGTCCTGCCAAAGCTTTCCTTGCTGAATTCAGCATGCTTGTAAGCGTAGGGGACCTAAAAGCCTTTCCTGTGCAAAGCTCTCAAATGTATATCCTGACTCCATCCAAATCATTTACCCTAGGGTGCAGAATAACAGCATTCCAAGCATTTCTCTGAAATAAAAATACAACACCACAACACTGAAGCTAGAACCAAAATCACATTATTGATAAAATATATGAAAATAGGCAGCTTCCATCTCACTTCTAATTGTCCTCTCCACAGGACGTGAAAGCACTGTGTTGGTACTGCTTTGTATAATTGACCTGAGCCTGGCAGGTTTGTGATAGCTACTTGTATTAGAAATGTGTGGGGAAACTTGCAAAAGGAGAACATGGAAAAACAAGCTGTCTGTTTTGGGGCTTTCTATGTTAAGGATGGTTTGAATAATGCTAGCAGAAGCACTCCGGCTTTGCCCTGCTCCAACACAGGAAAATGAAAAAGAGGCAGCATCAGAAACTTTCTCTTTCCCATTAACTTCCTAGTAATATATTACTATATGGACTGCCCCAGAAGTCTGTTGCTGAGCTAGGATGTTGCTCAGCATTTAGAGGGATGCTTCACCTGATTCTCACACAGGCTTTCAGCCTTAATCAATGTGTAAATAACAGCCCGAGTTACTGATTTTGAGAGAGTTCTATGTTGAAACAATGGTACGTGCAAAGTAAAAAGCTGAATAAATGAACATGTTGGTTGGTGTCTGCCAAGTGAGCAAACAAACATATGTTAAGAATGGGAATAACCACAATTTGCTGAACTGTTTCTGTTAGGAAAAAGAGTGGCGATGCAGCTTGAGAATTTGCACTGTTCCAAGCATTTCAAAATAGATTGACATGTTTGGATGAATAAAATCTACAAGTTGTAGGTGGCTCAGAGTTCAAGATCATGAAAAATATTTGCATTTAACTTCTTAAGCCTGCTCTATCTGATTTGGGTTTTTAAATTTCACATATTTCAGACCTCTTATCATTTTGTGAAAAAAAATCTCACAACCCTTAGCTAAGTTTCGTCATGAAAATGACATCCAGACTCCCTTGCATTTCTTGTTCACTTTCAGCAGCTCCAGCACTCTCCTGGGGTGTCCCTAAAATTGTGCCAGTTTGTGCTAAACACTGCCCAAAAATGCAGTGACAGCTTTTTCTTTGATGGTTTAATAGAAAAGAAACAGAGGTACAGAGGAACAGAGATCATTTTTCTCAGGGTCACCCAGGAAGCTCACAGCTGAATTTGAGAACTGAACCTAAACCTTCTGAGTCTTACTTCATCAGCCTTATAACATGAACTCCCTTCCTCCCGAGTGCTTGGATCTGTCTGACCTCCTAAGCAAATGCACAGGGCATGCTTCTCTCCTGATCTCGCAGGCTCTGTGGGGTCCTGGCTCTGAGACTGCTGTTTGTTTACAGAGAAGGCTGTTGGTACACTTCTCCCTGTTGTCTGATTGTTTCCCCCTGCCAAATGCACAGTTTCTTCTTCCTCAGCTTAGACTCAAAGCCAAACATCTCAGACCCCTGATCCAGAGTCACAGCATTCTCTCCAGTCTCCTGATGATGATTATACTGCATGCTGCTGGGAAGTGAAATCATTCCTGCTGGTCTTTACTTCTGTACCGAGCCATGTAGGGGCTCGTTAGAACAAAATTTCGAGGGGCCCTGACCCATACCTCTCCTGGGCTCTGAAGGTGGGCTTTCCTCTGACTGCATTCGAGCTAATGGTCACCAGCAGGAGACCTGGACTTTGCTCTGTTTGGTTTCTTTGTGGACAGAGTGAAGAGGTGACGTTCCCCCCTGCAGACAGACAAGGCTCTGTATTGGCTTTGTGGTGACTGGAATGAAGTTTGAATTTGACTGCAGCTGCAGTCAGTGTTAAAAATCAGCATTAGCTTCTGCTCCATTTCAACTTGGCTAATACCTGCTAGCAGCTTCCCAGCAGTGACCACAGTTTACAGTCTGTTCCAAAGGAGAACTGAAATGGGATGGAAGTGCTCCTTGCCCCTGACACTGCTCAGCCCTTGGGGACAGATGGCCCTGGTGAGGCCGCACCTTGAATACTGTGTTCAGTTTTGGGCCCCTCACTACAAGAAGGACGTTGAGGTGCTGGAGCGTGTCCAGAGAAGGGCAACGAGGCTGGTGAAGGGTCTGGAGAACAAGTCTTATGAGGAGCAGCTGAGGGAACTGGGACTGTTTAGCCTGCAGAAAAGGAGGCTGAGGGGAGACCTCATCGCTCTCTACAACTCCCTGAAAGGAGGTTGTAGCCAGGTGGGTGTCGGTCTCTTCTCCCAAGGAACAAGCGATAGGACGAGAGGAAACGGCCTCAAGTTGCGCCAGGGGAGGTTTAGATGGGACA